CCTTTATTCCGCACACGACACGTCTGTCGGCGGTCTCGAAATCAAGAAATCTGATGGTTCGCAGAAAGCTGTGGCTGACGTGCCTAGCAACGAAGACGTGCTCCTGCAAACAGAAGCATCCATGTTGATCCCTATCAACTTCTGGCGACAACGAACGCGCTCGATCGTTCCGCATACGACGCGTCTGCTAGGGATCTGAAACCTTGCGGAGTCTGCTGCTGTTGCGAATCGTCGTGGATTGCAGAAAACTGCGCGAGGGCGTACACGCTTGTCTCACGGAGCCCTTCTCCGCCCGGAGGAGGATCTTGAGAGAGCGCGTATGTTGCGCATTCGCGCAAGGTCGTCTAAGCTCCCCAATACAGAAGTATAATTCTATAGAGTCTGTAATAGTCTACATTCGCGGAAGATCTTCCGAAAACAACATGGTTGAGCCACTTCATCGTTGTATATATGACTCTATGCTGTTTCGTCAGCTCATTGCGGTTCAAGCGCAATAGACCCGACTCCTAGATGCTTTGCCCTTTGGTGTTGTACCCTTCATGTGATGCCGTTGTTCTGAGGTCACTGACGCCCGTTCAAGCTTGGAGTGGCACCCTATCGAAATGAACAGCAGCAAGCATACCTTGCCTTGAATTTCTGTCGTACGCACGCGCTGCTGCTGTAAGGACCTTACAATCTCATTAAAAGCAGACGAACTCAGCAAATCCACTATCACAATCTACTCTCCCTCGTCAACGGCCGAAGCACCCCATCGTTCCCCATCCTCGCCAAACAACTCCTATTGATATCCTCCACCCTTCTACACCCACAAAGCGCCATACACCGCTTGAAGTCCTCATAAAACACCTCCAACATTCTCTCCACACCCTTCTGCCCATCATACCCAAGTCCCTAACACACGTCCGATTAGCATCAACACACCCACAAACTTAATAAACAAACTCACCCACAACGTCGGCCTCCCAACCCAACAACACCTCGCCCCCAACGCCAACGCAACAAAAACATCACTCCCCCTCCTAAACCCCCCATCAACATGCACCTCCAACTTACTCCCCCGGGCCGCTCTTACACACTCCTCCAACACATCCATCGTCCCCGGCACCCCATCAAGCTGTCTACCCCCATGATTACTCACGATCACCCCGTCAACACCCCACCTAATCGCAGCCTCAACGTCCTCAGCACACATCACCCCCTTCACAAAGATCTTCATCTTCGTCCGCGCCCGTAACCACGGGATCTCAGCTGCCCAATGTGCGCCGTCGTCGTTTAGACCCGCGAAGCCCGTGTCGTGCGTCGTGGACCGGATTGTCTCTGTGTCGCGCTCGAGGATTGGGAAAGAGATCCCGCTGGGGGTCCGGAAGTCGTTGCGCCATTCATTGTAGCGGACGCCGAGGACGGGAGAGTCGCCTGTGAGGAAGATTGCGCGGCAGCCGGATTGTTCGGCTCGTTTCACGATCCTTTCCTGTAAGCCGCGGTTTGACATTGGATACAGCTGAATCGCGTAGCTGGGCGCTGAGTCATCATTCCCACCGGCGGAAACAATCTCATCGATGGGGTAGGAAGCAAAGGAGCTGATGGCCTGGTTCACGCCCATGGTGCGCACGGCGCGGCTGGTCGCGAGTTCACCGTCTGGATGGGCCATTGCTTGGATGCCGGCTGGGGCGCAGCAGAGGGGGAAGCTGATGCGGCGGTCGAGACATGTTGTGCTGGGATCGAGGTTTTTGACGTCGACGAGGACGCGGGAGCGGAGGTGGTACCGCGCGAGAGCGGTTTCGTTGGCGTGGAGGGTGCGTTGGTCTGTGCTGCCGCTGTTGAAGAAGTCGCGGGCTGAGGGGGGGAGGTTTGCGTCGGCAAGGGCTTTGAGGTCGGCGATTGAGAGGATTTTTTGGGTTGTTGGTTGGGGGAGGGGGGCGCCGCCGGACATGGTGGTGGGGTGCTGGTTGATTGGTTGGGTGGGTAAGGTATGGTATGGTTGTGCTGTGGTGTTAGCTACCTAGGTGTGCATTGGGTGATGTTCGACGGTGGACAACAAACAGCCTAAAGTGGTCTTGAGTACAATGTAGTAAATAGGTCTCAGGGCTGTCTAATGTTAGCAACCACGCACGCCACGGATTCCTGAATGTCTTGAAGCTTGGACTCAGCTTAAGTTAGGTCTAAGGATGCGCTATCATGACATGCTTTTGTAAATATAGTAGTAGCATATCTCTGGCCGCTCAAGTCCGCTGGGATAGTGCATGTACCTGCATGTAACACTCTCGAGCGCTCAATTGGCTGATTGAGGTCAATCTCTTCTTTTCCTCGCCGCCGTACCACAAGTCTTGCGGAGCGCGGTACTATCGGAAAGGGGGAACAAGGCGTCCGAGATTGATCTTAATGCACCCTAAAGGAGGAACGGTGGTCGAAGCTGACAACGGGGCATTCTGGACCAAGAGACATGCCTGAGATTGAAGGCACCATTCAGCTTTCAGGAGCTGCTGTCTGCTCTTACCTGTCCCTTCTCTGCAACTACTTTCTTCTCTTTTAGTACAACCTCCTAGAAGCTTGCTGTCTGTCGACATCGCTCGCATCGATAGTCAGAAACAGAACTACTACCTTGGTGATGATTAAAGCACATTTGTGCCTATGGCGTACGTTCTGGCGGCGCACAAGTGAGAAAGACGCGATTTTCATGCAATATGAATTGAGGACAGGGACAGTTTATTGTATCGAAATGGTATTCACTTATCAAAGGCTACTTTGCCTTGGCACTCGATACGGCGTCAACTGATTATCTCGTGCTTCAATCTTTCTACTGACTGTCTACAGGATTGTGTCTGACTTACCAAGGTGCCACAGGTGGACCCTTCTTCTGGAGAACCGCCTCTCTTAGCGGTGCATCAGCCTCTGGCTTGTTCCAATACTGCTCTTCCTCAACTTTCACGACCTTCAAAGACTCTTCCTCGAGCCACACCCGCTGATAAGGACTGCACCCACCCTGCTTCGCCATGAAATGCGTCATGTTTTCGACAGCCTTATCACCGCGGAACAGCCATGGTCTCTGGATCGTCAATGGCTCCTGCAGCGGGATTCTGGTTGACTTGCCGCTCTTCTTGAGCTTTGCCGTACTTCTCTCCAACATGTGACGGAAGTCCCCGATCCATTTGTCGAACCAGTATTTGATGGGAAAACCATAGCATGGCTGAGCATTCATATTGACTTGTTCCATCTCGGCCACTTTCGCCTGCAGCTCGTTTGAGTATGGAAGATTGCTGTCACCCCGTCTGAGCTTCACTATCGATCTGGCTGTGCAATTGAGGTTCTGGTTCAGCATCATGCTGCAGAGGATGTTCAAGACATTGGATAAATCGCCCCAACGGTGACCCGGCTCTGATTCTAGAGTGGCGATACCAAAGTCGATGAGGTAGAAATTTGTGGTAGCTGTCGGATCAAGGTTGTCGTTAGCTAGCAGAATGTTGCGTGGGTAGATGTCGTTGTGGGACATCCGCCTGAAGTGCTTGCCGCCTGTGGTTATGTCTGGAAATCGCATTTTGCGGAGGATCTCTAGGAGGACGAGACCGCACTGCCAGATTGCAGGTTCCGGAAAGACAAACTCTGTGTTAGCGGCTTTCTCGAAGACTGACAGGAGAGTTGGGCCGTTGACGTACTCACTCATTGTGCTCCAGTATGACGAATTTGATAGGTTCTCTTGCTGTTTGTCGATGGCGATGTTGAGACAGCCGAATTTGACCTTGGGAGATTGAGGTTGGTTTGGGTTCTTACCGTGTTCAAGACTGCTGACCAGCTTTGGGACTCCGGAGTGCTCTACATAGTGAGTGACATCCTTTGGAGTGCTACAGCATCCTTGTAGCTTGCGCACATACAACCTTCGATCGTTCAGGCCAAGCCAGATTGAACAACGAGCAAAGCCACCAACCGCAAAGCTCGGCTTGACGAGGATGAAGGGCTGGGAGGGCGTGTCGAGGTAGATAGCGAGGACAGGTCGTGGTGGTGAGATAACACGTTCTGGGGTAGTCCTAGCTGTGCTGGGGTTAGACTCGGTTTCCTCTGTGTCAGTATTGCCGTCATTGCTAGTTGGGTGATCAGCTTGACTCAAATTGAGCTGGACCAGAGCGTCCGTCAAGTCATTTGGCGGCACGCTTGGACTCGCTTGATCAGGCATCGGGAGTGGACTCATCTCGAGCTTTCTTTTCTTGGTTGGTGAGAGCATGACATCGCCTGCCTCACTGATTATGGATGGGCTGTCTGCATAGTCGTCTCCAGAAGACTCAGCTTTGCGTTTGAGAGAGAATGAAGACGCCATATCGTCTTGATTGAGGTACATTGCGTGGTGACAAGAGCAACAAGATTATCTCCATACTGATGTTCGTGATACACAGTGTGCGGCTCAGGCTGCTACGAGCTCCGGAGTGCAGGTTCTGCCATTCACAATGAGCAGCGACTCCGACAACGTCACAATGCTTTGGACAAAGAAAGACTGAAGTTGAAAGGTCGAGGACAAAGCTGTTTGTCGTTTGCCCTGACAAAGGGCATTGACGTAAGCATGGTATATGAGGCTCGAACGGCACTCTCGTTCTAGCCTTCACTTCATACAAGTCATGCCTGGCCTGGAAAGCCAAGCTGACTGCGCGACAGCGCACAGGTAAGTCCCCCTCCCTATCAGCTGACAGTGTCTAGGCAACCGTCTGAGGGAAGCTTCAGATCTGTACTAACCAACAGCCAAGAAGCTACTGCTACACTTGAGGTCAGTCACCCAATACACCTACATCTGTCTAGAAGTTTTGCTAACAAGTGTCAATCGTGGCTTCGGCCACGAATAGGGAAGCGATCGGTCTGCTTGGATTTCCAGCACACACTAACATAGGGCGACATAGCTTAACCGGTAGAGCATCAGTGGATCTGTCCTTCACGTCCTGGGTCCCCATGTAGCGATACATGGGTAGCCAGTCGATGGGTTCACTGAGAGATGTCGGTTCGAATCCGACTGTCGCCTTAACGTCCTCGTAGCACGATGGTGGTGCATCCGGTTGCGTAGGAGCAAAACCTGGAAGGTTGTAGGTTCGAATCCTACCGAGGACTTTTTCGTGTATGTGCTGGAGATGCAAGTAGAGCGCATTCACTGACTTTCGCAGGGCAAGACGTGAGTGATATCCGTACCACAGGATCTGCTAAGCATTTTCGCTTGATTGAGCTAATCTTTTCACAGCTAGGTGTCGAAGTAAAATACAGTCTAATGTTCAAGGTAAGTGTACAGTTTTGGGAAGGAAGTCAATGCTGTGAGCCGCCACTGTAGGGATTTAGGTTACATGAGAACTGCAGGCAGCGAAATGATGCATGTGGTGAAAGTTTCACTTTGAACACATTCTTACCCATAAGCAACAGTTCTTCGCCATTGCAAATATGTCCAATATCTTTCTCTTCATCATGCAAGATGAAGAGGCTCTATATCCCCGGAACTGACGATAGTGAACCTGAATCTCCATCGCACCTTCCACCTCTACCTTGCGTGTCGCCCTTGCCGAATCTGTCCAGCGTCGCGTTTTTCTCCCGAAAAAATCGTTGCCATGGCCGACGACCTCAACCTCCAACGCCAGCAAGAGGCAAAATGTCTCCAAGAGACCGCGATGCTGAGCTTCTAGGTGCCAGTCCACGTCGCCCATCCGTTTCAGCCATACCACGCCCAGCTCGAACCGCGTCTACCCGACGAGCGTCGAAATCTTGCTTAGCCACAGCAAACGGGATGCTATCTCCGGACAGGGCACGCCGTCCTCCCCAACGAAGGTCAGCAGGAGTCAAGAGTGAGCATGCACCGTCATCATACCATTTGCCTCGAAACCTGCTTCCACGATCGGAGTCATTTCTTACGCAGTTCGAAGACTTCAATTCAATCGAGGATGTCTTAGACGGAGCAACCAAGGGGCTCCCTAAGTCTCAAACGACACCAGCATTACTTTCACCTAACAAGGATATCACTTCACACCGGCTCATGCGTTCACTCGATCCTCCGCTGCCGAGATCAAGTACATACGATGGTTTCTTGTCTCCTGAACGCAGAACCCGACCTCAGGAACCCACAAGGCAGCTCTGTTTCAACAACACGATGACCCCACGGAGGAATGAGAAGCCACGAGCCAGTAGCAAATCGCCATATCCGTTTCGAGATCGAGTAACTGTAGGTGTGGATGGCGAAGATGGCAATACGTCTTGGTCGTTACCTGACAACGACTCTGCTTTGTCATCAGTGACTGGTTCAGAGAAATCTGAAGTACTAGTAGATCCGAGACATGTGAGTGATAATCTACCTGTTTCCCCAGTCCATGCTAATGCTTTCAGGTCTTTATCCCGCAACCTGCAATCTATTGGTTAGGGAGATACACCACTCTCGTTGACCGTTTACGAACGAACGAGCTGATACCCCGTCCTGAATCCGCGAGTAGTAACAGAGATGGAAGAAACCTGTCACTGAAGCACAAGACCAGTATGGAGTTCGAACGTGCAGAAAGAGACATCAAGAAAGAAGCAATGGCAACACTGAGATCATTTTGTCAGACTGACGCAGCCACCAGCAGCCTCGACAAGTTTGCAATATACATGAGCCAGAACGACCCAAGCTTTTCAAGGCATCCTGCAGTAGCTCGGCACGAACGTAACAGCCGGCCTTACCCAACTGTGGTCAAGCAGCAGTCAGGACAATATCCTCCGGTTAATCCAGCCAAGCCAAGGGTTCGTAAGCTGAGCGACAACCTGCCTCATATACCTCCCAATATCTTCCGGAAGGCACCGAATCCCAACAGAAGAGAGCCTACAATCAGCAAGAGCTTCACTATTGGCAACTTTGGTAGCACTGGTTCCTTCAGCAGCCCGGGCCCAAGTTACCCAAGCAACGGGCATCTGGCAACAGGCCACGATGGGAGGAAGGTATCATACTACTCCCATATGTCCGAGACAAGACTTCGTGCCGTGGAAGAAAGAGATGCAAGACCGAGTGCCTCCAAAACTATGCCCGGGCAGTCAAGTGATCGGAAAGCATCCCACGTCGAAGACGTATTCCGACCGACCAACAAAGTTGCAAGAATGCCCTTGTCTCAGAGCGTGGCGAGTATCAAGCTAAATTCCGAGACGCCTCCGCAGACCAGCTTCAAGATGGTCAAGCATGAAGTTGCGGCTGTTGATGGAGGGGCTTCACAAACACAGGAGGACAATAGCACTATTAAGCATACGCGGGATGTTGATGTTGAAGATACACCGACTGGCCACTCAAGGCGCTTCCGAAAATCTGAGTCTATGAAGAAGTTATTTGGTGCAAGCATCAAGGAGATTCGGAAGATGGGTCATCGCGTTAGCAACACTGGCGGTCACGATGGGGCGGACGAGTACTGACCTACTGACAAAAGATAAAGAAACGCAAGATGTGTCGAGTCCAACATCGGAGTTTCGGATCAAGAGGTACAGCTTGTTCAAGAATACATTTCAGGCATAGGGAAGCTGGGACCTTGCAGGTCCTTCCTTCTGAACGACTGAGCAGACTCTATCTCAAATGTGTCAACTTCCCAGCACACGGCCTGTGAACAACAAAAGCAGTCAGCCACGATAGCGGTACGCCAAGTAAGAAGACTTACGATTATCCTGTCGTTCTCATGCTTGACAGACCATGGAGACGCGCAAGTCTTCGTGCACTCGCCTTTATGAGACCAGAAGTCCTGCACCATGCATAGTGCAGGAACGCGCTTGCCGTCATGGCGTTGGATATATTTGCGGCATTCCTCGAGCATAGAAAGTGGGCGTTTATATTGCTTGAGAGCCGTATCTATGATCAGCCCGGCGTCTTCCTGCGATACTTGTCCTGCAAGCCTCTCGGGTGTGTCGAGGGAGAGATCTGTTTCCACTGTACCTAGCGGCTGCGATAGTACAACCTTGGACAGGAGCTCGAACTTGATCACTTTTGCTGGAGCTTGAGGGTATCTATAATCGTTAATCATCACACCCATGCTCAGGGGCAAGAAACTCAATGCGGTGAGGATATTGCGCAGCAAGATGGGCAATCTGTTCAAGGGTGTCGGAAATTCCGATCCTGGAACAAAGACCTGCAGATTCGTGGGATGATTGAGTTTGAGGGATTGGAGTGCTTCCTCGCGAACTGTGCGGCATGTCGCCAGCAATGCGTATAGCTTGTTCAGATCTGGGTCGCCAGGAGTCCTTGTCATGCCAATCTCGGTGAAGCTATCTCGGATTTCTTGGGGCACGTTCTCGTCCTTGCTCGTCGCAATGGTCGCGCGCAATGACATCTCGCATTCGAGGTATGTTGGGAAGACATGGCTGTAGATGATGGCCCTTATTTCAGAGGGCAGTTTCAAGAAGTGGTCGGTGGGTCGGTGTTCACGTCGGAAGTGGTGCAGAACGCTGAAGGGTGGGAGTCGAGTTTGTGTAACGTGAGAATAAGTCGTGTTTGCCATGGCTAGGCGATTGATTCTGTTAGTGCTAAAGAAGGTTCGACCATGGATGGAGGTGGGTCAAAAGCGCAGGCGATGTTGAGCTTATCGATACCGTAATTTGCGAAAATACTTAGGGTAGATCCGAAGCCAATGCATCGTTGCAGTTATGCTTGTGCTTCGTTAGGCGCCAGAAGCCAAAATCGTGATGCCCAAATTGCGATTCTGGGGCTTAGAAGGCGCACCCAGCATGCCTAGAGGGCTGGCCTTAGGCTTGGCGTCAAGACAGAAAACCAGTTTCGAATTTGAGAATATGGCAGTCTTTACTTCGCGTCAGTCTAGCATAATTGTTTACATATCAACAACAATAGTTATGGAAGTGTGTATTAAGAAAGAGTTTCTTAGTACGATGTACTTTTCTATTTCTTGATGCGATCTTCTGAAAGAGTTTTGTAGCTGTTCAAAACGTGGATCTCTATCAGCCAGATGCCGAAACGGGTTTTCTGTCTTGACGCCAAGCCTAAGCCAAAGCACTTAAGCCATGAACATCCAAGCATCAATGCGGCGATCTCCAGCTATTCTGCGACTGGCCGCGGTGGACGAAGGCATGAGTGCGCTCTTTTCCGGGCGTCTCCTCAACTTCAAGGTTGCCCTCGCCCAACTGTGTCTCTCAAGCCCGGCCTGGCTACCTTGTAAGGTTCTTCCGCACCTGGTATTACTGTACATCTGACAGCCAAGGCCCCGACCGCCACCTCAAGATCCAGATGTAATGCATAAGACCTGATACCGGGCGCCGTTCTGTCCTTATTCTCTCGAAGCTTCAAGTCACCTGCCATGCAGCTCTCACCTTCGTGCCATCGCTACTCGATGACTTGACTGTCCGAAAATCTCAAGACGATCATTCTGTTTGTTAACCCAATTCCAAAATGGGACGTACTAAAATGCAAGACGAGGACTGGGCTGGAGTTCTCGATCTACGTAAGCGTAAGCAGATCCAAGACCGCTTGGCCCAGCGAGCAAGAAGTGAGTGTACACACGAGTTCAGCAAAAGTTACCCTGCTCAACCTTTATCCCTGCAGGGAAACGACTGAAAGAGGCCGAAATCTGTCTTGCAACACCTTCAACCTGCAAAAATACTTCCAATAGTGTGGATAACGGATTGAGTGACAATCGAAACGACGCAGATGACCAAGTTCAGCATCACGGTCTCCAGCTTACTCGACATCCTCGGCATTATGAAACTTACATCACAACGAGTTCTGGAGAGAACCTCTTCACCGGTCAGATCACAGCAACGGCCTACAGTGCCCTGCATCAGAACGGTGCCTTGCTGGGCCTGCTGTGTTCAGTATCTACCATCTGCAAGTCAACGCCGGTAGGTCCGGAAGTTCCAGAGGCCCTCCAACCGACACCTTTGCAACTCACCGTGGCCCATCCACCTTGGATCGATCGCTTCCCCTTCCCCCAGATGCGCGACAACATGATTTCACTCTTAGGAATCATTGATGAGGAGGAGTTCCTGGCCGACCTGTTTGGCCTCACGAGCTTTACGATCGAGTCCGGTGCAGCATCATGGGATCCCAGTGCCTGGAAAATTGGAAGAGAATTCTCGGCAAAATGGGGTTATCTATTTTACTAGCTCAACCTCTC